TTCATATATTGCTATAAATAATAATATTTGATACCTTTTCAATTGTTATCTCCATGATATCCTCTGATTCTCTTTTGAGAACCAAGGGAGGTGATTCTACAGCCTCATCCATTTCGTCTTCAGTCATCGTGGGCGCTCCAGGAATAATAGAAACTTGATCCATAGTGGCAGTGTTGAGAACGAATGCATTTGAGCGACGATCAATTGTCCCTCGAATCTTAATTTTCATCCCTTCCAGGAGGTTTTCGTTAGGGACGAAGGTGGTCACATGAACAGTCATTCGATGAACCTCGGAACAAATCATTGCACTGCCGTAACTTGCACCACTGGCGGTTGAAATACTCCTAAAAGGCTCCTTGAGCCATCCTGAGATTTCAACTGGGCCACGTGCAGAACAAACGTCTTTTATCTCCATGGATTGGTACTTCACCACCTTGTTCAATGCCTCATCAGCGCCATTTGCAATGTCGAAGGTTCCAAGGACCTCGAGAGTGCTTCCGCGACCAAACTGGAACTCTTTGTCACTGACAGTATCGCCAGATCGGCGATACTGGAGATTGGCCTCTTTGATCACACCACCAGTAATTTTTATGATCTATAGCGAACAAATTGATTATTTTTATAATTAATTTTTCTCTTGAGAATTAATTTTTCTCTTGAGAATCTTTCGTTACAAAAAATAATTCAGAAAAATATAATTTAAAAGTTTCTCTTAAGTGAAATAAGAATGGGTTGAGAAATAAAATTTCATCAATTCAATCTTATTTGAACTGGTTTTTTCTTGGATATAAAAAATTTTTGTCAACTTTTTTTTTAGCTTATCATTCAGAAAAATGTAAAAAACGTAATTTAAAATTTTTTTGGAATCCAATTAGAATGGTTGAAAAAATTAATTAATGTTTTTAATTTAATATTATTCAAACTGCTTTTTTTGTGCATATAATAGATTTTTGTCATTTTTTTTCAGTTTGTAAAAATAGGAACTTCCGTTGAGGGATGATCACTATTTTCCATAAAGTTGATCCCCTCAAAATTTACATTTTTTAGCATAAAAAAAATACGTGAAGCATTTTTTTTTATTTCTTACTTGGTACATGACGATTTCTGAGTTGTACTTCAAAGCATCATCCCCCCAGAAGATGATGCGAACCCTCTTGTCGTCATTGTTATTCAAAACGCATTTGTAAATCCATTTGGATGCAGATTTAGGCAATTCTCTCAATCCCTCGATGGAATCCACGTAGCCAACGATTCTCCTGAAAGGAAAGAATTCAATTTTAGCATTTTATGAATAACACGTGGTAGTGGGAGGTTAGGATACCTTAATGCATGATAAAACGAAATATTAAACACGTGGTAGTGGGAGGTTAGGATACCTTAATGCATGATAAAACGAAATATTAACCAAAAATAACACGTGGTAGTGGGAGGTTAGGATACCTCAATGCATGATAAAACGAAATATTAACCAAAAATACTTACATAAGAGTCGCTCCCGCATTGAAATGATCAATTGCCTTACTCGATGTGTATTTGATCTTGGTGGATGCCATTGTTTGCTTTGGATTCACTTCACTAAATTTCAACGTCGAAAAATGCAAAAATATCACCTCGTGCGTAACCGGAACCTCACCCGAGCGAAGCGCCAGAGAAAATGAACGTAATTCTATTCACGGCCACGACGTCTGATGGCGCGTCGGATTCAGTCTTACGCGTTTCGATAATTTCGAGATGGAGAGATACTTCGATATATCGTTTCGTTTCTCCTTTTTATATTAGGATAAAGGCGCACAATCCATTTTTTCTCTGATTCTTCGTCACTGTCGATTCCATATACATTAATCGACAATTCATTCATTTTCTCAAACTTGGGAATGTCTTTTAATGCCATAGGGTATTTGAAATTACCAAATCTTTTCATAAGTGCTGAAAGCTGGGTATGAGTTAGGTCGTTGCTTATCTCGAACGTTACAGCGAGGGGCCATAATGGACCATAAGAAGCAGTAGGCATCGTCTTTATTTTGAACGTTCACGACAACATGTTTCTTTTTAATCCATTTAGGTAGTTCAACGAAGCTGGATCCTCCGCACAATGGATTATATTTATTTATGTTCACTTCTAAATTGATGACGTCCACTAATCTCCAGCTTAAGTCTTTTTCCTGGAACTCATCCGCTTTCACAAGAAGTTTTTCTCTAATATGCTCCTCGAACTACTATTTAATATTAGTTGAATCAAGAATTATTTCATTTTTGGTACTGAAATATTTTTCTTCTTCAATCAGATGTTCATCTCTATTAATTTCCTCTTAACACGTTAACACTACATTCACTTTCAAACTTCCTTCTTGTTTCAATGCATTTTTCAAACGTACACAGAGCATTCGTCTAGCATCATCTAAAAATTTGGGTATATCTGGATTTTTCACGTTAATAATTACACCGGTTCTCAAAAACACTTTGTAAGTCCTCCCATCGGACTCTATCGGTTAAATTGCCACTTAAATCTCCTCCTATCACTTCCAAGTTTCTGAATCTTGCGTAGAACGCCTTCAGTCGTCCTAACATGTGAGTTAAACGTCTTCTCTCACTATGACTCGCACTCCTCTTCAATAATGCATTAATTTCTTTCGAATGTCCTCTGATGTGATTAAGCCATTGTTGAATTTCCCTGGGTCTCTTATTAGTTTTCACTATTTCATACGCATCTTCCAATGACCTCAATAATCTTTTACACGCGTTAGGATCCGTGTTCATGATAAAGACACTAAAGAACTAGCGGAAAATCAAGGTGAAATTTGTTTATATAGATACATATGTGAGTGTGCCTACGCTTGTACACTCTGTAAAATCTTACGTGATTGGTTGAAAAAGAATCATGTGACTCATGGAAAAGTATTAACAAAATAGCAACATTTTTTGTTCGTGGGAAAAAAAAATAGCTGAAAAATGTCCAGGAAAACATTTAATCTTTGCGGTGCGATAGGACATCAAACTCCGAAAACTCTGCTCCAGTTTGTCAAACATCATGTTCTTAGGGTTGTGAGTACAACGTGCGTTCCCAGGTAACCCGAAAAAGTCTATGTAAACAAAAGATTGCGTTCGGACATCTTCCAATGCATTTCCATTCTTATCAGTTTGCAGCAGATGGAGATTTTTCGGAAACTCCTCCTACTACAACGTGTAAAATTTGTCGAGGACTATGTCAAATTGGTGGAGGTACCTAAGTTTTTGAATGACTGATCCTCTGCCTTTGCAGATATACATACTCCCTCCCTTTCTGAACTCTTCTTTTTAAAATGAATATTTACATATTGATATCGTTATCAACAAAAATTTCACACGAATGGAAGCGGCAAACAGGAAAGTACGGGAAATCTCAAGTTCAGACATGCCAGGAAAATGTTTTTTTTAATAAATATTTATATATTGATATCATTATTAACAATGATTTCCCACGAATGGGAGCGGCAAACAGGAAAGTACGGGAAAACTCAAGTTCAGACATGTCAGGAAAATGTTTTTTAAAATAAATATTTATATATTGATATCGTTATCAACAACAATTTCACACGAAGGGGGCGGAAAACGAGAAATTACCGGAAAACTCAAGTTCAGACATGTCTGGAAAATGTCAAGTGGAGCCAGGTGTCAGCGTTTGAAGAAGAAGAGGAGCCCTTTCTATGATTTCTACAGCAAACTAAAGCAGCGAATTAGTTAACCCTATCACCCCTCGCGGCAGTGTACTGAGAAGTTCGGATGTACTAATTGATTAATTAATTAATCGATCCTCGAATTTAGCCGTGATTTGCGGAATTAATCTACGAATCAAACCGCGACCTGCGAATTAATTAACCCCTTCACTCACCCCCTCGCGGGGTGGATTGACTAGGTCACCGAGAAGGTCCTTTGTAACGCAAAACCGCGAATTAAATTGATTAACCAGCGAATTAAATAACCCTTTCATCACTTCGAGGGAAAAAATCGCGAATTAATTAATCAAACCGCGAATCAAACAGCGACCCCGTGAATTAATCAACCACCCACCCACCTACTTTCATCTGACCCCCCTACTGGGCCCCAACGACCAGGTCGACGCTAAAAACGTTGCCCCAGAACATACTAATGAATTGAAAATTAATTAATTGATTAATTAATCAATAATTAAATCAATCAATAATTAATTAATTAGCGCGAATTAATTAACCCTTTCACCCACCCAGCCCCCTCGCGGGGGCCCTTTAGCCAGGTCGACGCCAAAAACGTTGCGCCAGAACCCGCATTACTACACTACTGGGGAGGCCAAGCAACTTTTGTACACGTAAAGAGGGATGATTCTAAGCAAAACAAAAGGGAAGAAGCTAGACGTGTCTAGGGAATTGTAAATGATATCAATGAAGTAATAATTGATCCGATTGAACACTAAGGGGAATATTCAAAATACAGTGTAGGCTCACCGTTGGAGGTAAATACTTGGGGAACAAGGGAATAATGGGAAAATGGGGAAGGTAACTCGTACTCACGACCACGTGGGTGCAACTCGGGGACTTCCGGGCGGCACAACAAAATCTTCAATAATTCGGGGGGGTTTTTCTCCAGGGTTTGAGCCTCCGTTCCAACTGGACGACTACTGGATTCCAATTCCAATGGCTGAGAGGTGTACTAGGATGCATGCAATTTTCCTCTTTTATCAATACTTCTCCAAACCCAAAATTACGGGGCTTCTCGGGGAATACTTTTCGGGGCACGTGGAAACACTCGAGGCGGCTGTGTTACGAGTGACTCCTTTCTTCTCTTCTTTTTCGTCGCGATTTCTTCGCATTTCTTCCTTCGTTTCCTTCATTCGTCAGATTTCGTACTTGATCGTCACCTGACTTAGATCTCTGGAGGGGGCCAGGGGATATCACACAGGAGCTTAGTCACCTGGGCTGCTGATGATGCGTGTTTTTGAGGGGCGTTTGTGGGTATTCTTCCAGGGGGCACAGGTTTTGGTCAGTCGAGTTCATGGGCCGGTGATGTTGACTTCCTTCGGGTGGTCTCATCTCTGCTTCCAGGGGGAATGGTAAGGGCGGGGGGGGGGGCGAAGGGAAATATTGGGGAGATAAGGTGGCCAACGGTGGCGGCAATCATTTATTAGGGGGCTGAGCGTGTTGGGGAAAAAATATGAAATAAAAATAAAAATAAATAATTGCCCCTCGTCACAAACTTAGAACTGATTAGTTTGTAAAAACGATCGTCTTAGCGGTTCTCTAGTAATTCGCAAAAAACTTCTGAAAAAACGCAAAAAATTACGTTTTTTGAATAATTCGATTATTTTTCCAGTAGAAATGATGCGATTTGAATTGTTTTGCATTCAATCGATAAATATTAGTATGCCGTATACCAGAGTAGATTTTGAGCAAAATCGACTCAGGCGTTTTCCAGTTTTTCTAAAAATAAAACTTCTGGAATTCTGATTTTTTTTTCAGTATCATAGCTCTGATTCTATAAGTGACCACCACAATGACCTCTATGAAACCCCACGTTGGGCAGAATAGGGCAACATGGACCAGGGGGTGAAATGGACCGCGGGGAAAACTGGACCCGTGTTCCGTGAACGACTGAATACACCGGGTTAGAAACCTGTTTTACCGAACGCACCGTCCCTATACATGTGTGAAAAGTCAAAGAAAATGAAATGAAAAGTCAAACATTCTCCTCAAAAGGCAAAGAAAAAAATTAGAAAATTCAGGAGAGAAAATTCTGAGTATGCTGCATCATTGAGAATTCGTGCATATTTTTTTCAGATTTCAGTCTCAAGAAAAAAATTATGAAATTTGGATGTTTTTGTAACCTCTCCCACTATACCTATGAGGTTACCCTACTCTTAATTAGGAAAATTCCCATGGCACCCAAAACAATTATTAACTGTTGAAGAAAAACTAGTGGGTGATAAATTAAATCTTTCTTGAAAACAGGTATAAGTTTCAGATTTTTTTCAGATTTCATAAGAAAGTTATTTGAACAAATGATTCGGAAAATTATGAGTTTCGGGACAATTACGCTCTCACGCACAGGCGCCTGATTCGAATGTCAGTGAGCATCATGGAAAAGATATGGGTTGGACCATGGAACAGAGAGAGAAAACACTCGACAGGTTTACCAACTCATTTTAATATTATTTCAAGAGACGCATTTTGATATTATTTCAATAATTAGAAAAACATCCACTAAAAATTATTTGAAACCCGTAGGTGATGAGAAAAAAAAATCAATCTGATAAATAAAATCAATATTCAAGAAATGTTCAAATGCACACTTAAACAGTGACTTGAAAATTGGGAAAATTCGTGCTCAGTACTCAAAACAATAGGACTCCCCTTCCGTTTCACCCCCCTGTGAAACGGGGGTTTTTCAAGGGTTCATTTTGAAATTTGATATTTGCAATTTGAAATTTGAATTCTGAATTTCAAATTTCAAATTTGAAATTGGAAATTTGAAATTCGGAAAATTGGAATTTGAAAGAACTAAAATGTTTCGTACAAAATTTCAACTTCCCGAATTTCAAATTTCGAATTTCGAATTTCAGATTGCAAATATCAAATTTCAAATTTCAAAATGAACCCTTGAAAAACCCCCGTTT